AGGTAAGACATGGCTTGCCCTTGGTGAATCCCTACTCACTAGTCCTAATCACCACTTTCTCCTGCAAGTGCTTAGAAGTGGATTCCTTGAGGACCTGCTTGTGGTTTTTCCAGGGACTATGGTGAGTCTGACCAGTTTCTCTTTCCCCATATCCTCCTTGTTTCCTTTCTTAAAGATAAGCATTTTATTTGCGCTTTTCCAGTCAGCTGCAGCCTCTCCCGACCACCACAAGTTTTCAAGGATAATGGCCAGCCTGTTATGAAAACTTATGCATTAGGGCAGTGGTTCCCAACCTTTTGGTTCTGGCAGCACGCTTGCTGGGCCTCTCCCATCCCATGGCACACAGGCCGAATGCGGGGGCAGGTGGGGTGGGGTGGGGAGTGTCAAGCGGCCAGACACGGACCAGGGGTGAGGGAGGCCGGGCATGGACTGTATGCATGTTGGGGGGCAGGTGGCATAGCTGAACGCAGTGTGCAGATGCAAATCGCTGGCTAGAGCCACGCCCCCATCTGTCTGTGTCTGCGGTCGCAGCAGGTGGGGGGTGGCTCCAGCCCCAAATTTCTGGGGCACACCTGGACATGCCTCACGGCACACTGGTTGGGAAATGCTGTATCAGGAGCTGCCTGCATCTTGCTTTGTCTGTGTTCAGCGTTGCACAATTAACAGAACAAACATTGCATCCATTATTCCTCTAAAACACATTACCTTATCTTGCATGGGTGGAGCTGGTATAAAAATTTCACTCACTTGTAGGATTTTGTTTTTCTTTTCCTGGTTACCCTAATGCACATGCCATGGCAAATGATTGTTACCCCAGTACATATGCCATGGCTGTTGTTACTTCATTACTTAACTGACCCTGTCTGCTGTTATCAGGCTGTACTCCTGTGTTATTAAGGCTATTTTTCTATGTGGACGTTTATCTGTCAATGTAATTACTCGGTGATTTCCAGTATTGTTACAGTTCAGCAGAAAATAGCATAAGGGAAAATGCATCTATTTTCTCTTATCTCAATTGTTTCAGTTTTGTTTTTTTTTTCTGTCCAAGCCTTGGCTAGTGTCACCCTGATCTCTGTGTAGCATGTTGAAACCACTTCATTTTCAAAAGTTTATTTTCTGAAGTCTAGTTATATTATTAAGCAAATCATGTCCTTGAACTAAGATACAGTAATAAGACAAAGGCTACCTAACCTAACATCTAAGTGCAGATTTTCAAAGATGCTCATTCATATTTGGGACAGGTTTTTCAAAGAAGTTCAGCTCTTGCTTTTGAAAATCTAGCAATGTGTGGACCCTGCTCACTTCCAGTGACCTTAGCAGCTCACTAGTTTCATGACACTTCTTTTTGATAGGGCTCATGCATCTTGCATTGAAATAGTTATGTATTACCATGCTCAATTCTGGAAGCTTTACTTGGTCAATAAATCTTTGGGAAATGACAAGGCATTTCCCAGAGAACTGCTCAGTTTAGTGTTTAGCAGAATACAGAATAGATTCCAAACATCGGTGGGTGAATATTTTACAACTCTAACAAGTGCGTAAATGTAATGTTTTCCAAGTTTAAAACATGCTGGTTTCCTTGTGGCAGGAGGGAAGTAAACCTAAGGATATCATAGCTCATGTGCTTTATATGTAAAAATATGAGCCACTTAAACCTGGAATGTATCCCAAAAATCTCCCAAAACTTTAATCTGTGGCCCAGCACACATTAATATGGCAAACCATGGGCAAGTAAAAACAAAAAGGGAGGCAAGCAGTTGCCTTCGGGGTATTTTAAAAATGCCAAGACTAGCTTTACTTGGAGTCAGAGCCACATATGAAATTCCAGTGAAGATATAAGTACTGGGTAGGTACATGTGTCTGACTCCTCCCTAAGGTACATCTTTCCTGTTTGAATCAAGGTTTTACTGTGACTGACATTACAATCCTTTTTGCACGTAAGTAATGATACTGGAGCACCCCAGGTTAATGTTCAAATGCATGATTCTTTAATGCTAGTTGAACTAGGTTGTCAGATTGGGAGCAGTCTGTTTCAGAAACACAATTTCCCCTAATGGCTGAGTAGCTCTATTAAAGCTTCAAGATTTTTCAGAAAACATAGGGTTTATTTCCCATATAATTTCCCACCTTCCCCATTGTGCATGCTTCCATTATCACCAAAATACTTTTTGTGGGTGTGATGGTGCACAATTTTTTATTTTTTGGAGGCACATATCACTGCACTGTGGCCTAGGTGTTGCTTTGTGAACAGTATGGTAAGGTTTCTAATATCTAAAGTAATGCCTTACATACTCATCTCACAGTACTATTTGTTTCTGTTGTAGAAGTGTAGCATAGCTCAACTTTTGAAATGACAGACATTAAATCAAAATGTCACATTTTTTTTATGACCTGCACAGCTGCGGAAATGCAGTTCAGATAATATCTACCCTATGAGAGCCGCAACAAGTGGGGGGTGGGTGTATGTGTGCATGTAGGCAAGTGACCAGCAAAGCATGATCACATGTTGCAGGGCATTTATATAAACCCAGTTACTACAAAACCTCAATTTACAGCTCCTGTGTACCATAGACAGAAGGCACTTTCAGTGCAAATAAATTCAACTTTTTTTCTTTGTGGGCAATATACGTCGGTTTTCCTAGTTCTTACTCTAGGTCATTCAGACTGCCATATTTATCCGACTCCATGGCAACTGAATTTTAGAAGACCCCCTCTTCCCCCCCCCCCAGGTAATTAGAATTCTCTACATGGAAAATTTTATACATTTGTTTTAATTTCCCACATTCCAGGTTTAAGTGGCTCATATTTTTACATGTAATTATAGGATCATCTTAAGTTCATACCCCCAGTGCTGCAGTGTGGAAAACAGTTGCAGAGGGGCAGGTGGTGGGTGGGGGGGCGGCGGTCAAGCAGCTTGACTCCTTTTCCTTGCTGACCTTGCTCCCTGCCCCCTTCCCCCCTCCCCGACATGCTTGCACTGCTGCTTGCCCTCCCTGACATGCTTGCACTGCTGCTTGCCCTCCCAGGACCTGCTTCCTGCTTATTGCCCCCCAGTACCTGTCCCCCTGCTCTTTCCCCTCCACCGCTTCTCCCTCCCACCCCCCCCACTTGCCTCTCATTCCCTTTGTCTTCTTTCCTCTCCCTGACTAGTATTGGTGGTTCTCTCTGCTTGTTCTTCTGGTTTGTGTGGTTGTTTCTGAGAGTCAGAGTTTGTAAAAGGTTAGAAGCAGCAAGTTCACATTTGAAACATCCTACTGGGCTACAAGTACTGTATCTTACAGACAGATAGGGTTTCATTAACCTTTATTACCGGCTGCTTGGCACAGCTGCAGTGTTATGTAGAGCAACATCTGACCTCTCCATATAAATACATTTAAACTAGCAAGAAAAGAAGGGAACTGACTAGTTAACATTTTGGCATATTTAGTTCTTAACATCATAAACCTAATTGCTACCCTAGGGAATACAAACTGTTTAGTGACTATAGAGAGGAAATGACCAGTGCTTGTAACTTTTATCTAAGGGCAAATATATGAGGATAAGCAAATGAAATCAGTGGCTTGATAACATTACTGGCTTGCTTTTAGCACTGCCTTGTCAGTTTTTAGATGTCTATTTTAAAACTACATGGATGGTGTGGCTACCAACTGTATGGAATTCTCTTACATACTACTTTTATATCTGCTTCCATGAGGAAACTATCAAGTTTCCAAAAATACCTTTTTTCATTGGGCTAGCTCAGAATCATTTTATAAATGTGGTATCATAGAAGAGGCTATCTTGTTAGAACTGCCTCCTTAAAAATCTGCCTTAGAAATCATGAGATTTAGATGACCTTACATATTGGGGGCAGGTGGGAATCACCTGTGCCATTCTCTCCTGGAGTCTAAAATCTCTAGGCAATAAAAATTGAAGACTATTAGAATGAATTTGGCGGGGTTATAATTGCTAACCTGTAATTTAACTTGCAGATGATCTTAAGGCAGAAAGTTTTTTGCTGAATTTGCCAGTTGTGCCAATTAAAGGACACTAATGTTGGAGGTGGAGCTTGCCTTTTTCTTCAGAAGCACCTGATTTAAGTTAACAGGTGTTGCTGATACTTAAGACTCTTGAAAAAGTGCATCCAATGAGAAGAGATTTGATCCTTTTTGCAGTGGGAAAGGGGGTGGAAAGCAAGGAAACCAATTATGTTCTTTGTCTCCATTTTTCTTTTACTTCCCTCTCTTCCCTTTTCTTCCCTTCAGGGTCATCTTGCTCCCATTTTTTTCTTCCTTTGTCATCTACCACTACTGTATCCTTCCTCCCTCCTTTCCTCCCTCCCTTTTTGGTTTGAAAATTAAGGATTTAATTTTTTGCCTCTTTGTTTCATAATGAATCATCAGCACCATAGGCACTGTAATCAGTGAGAATTACTATTTACCGGATTTTATGGGGGTTCCACAATGCTTTAATATTGGCAACAAAAGTAAATGTTGACATGATTTCGTTGTTCCTTTTGGGTGTGATGTTAGGCAATGAAACAACAATCAAAACAGTAGTTTGCATACCAGACTGGAGGGTACATGTAAGCATGTGATTCTTTTAGAGGTACATGAAGCAGAATTAGCATCCAAAGAAGTATGTTTATAGCCGCCTTGGATTATAGTTTTGGCTTTGCCAGTGATTGCTGTGAGGTTTTCAGATGATTTAGTTAACTTTCGTGTGACACAACTGGCTTGTCAGATAAACCGAAATAACGTGTAATAAATAAAACTAATGAAAAGCTTGACTAATATTTGTAGGTGCTGTGAGATCCTCAAATGAGAATTACGGTAAATATTAAGTGCCAAAATCATTTAGATAATCCGATACATGGTTTTGTTACAGTGTAATGTATATGGAGAAGAATGAAATTTCATTTAAGCACAATTAACTGCAGAGAACAAGCATTAGGCTACTTTTGTTAGTCTGTTTTGTTCTTTGTTTTTCAAGTCTAAGTCTCTACATTTTGACCTGTACAGGAAAAAGTGTTTTGGAGGAAGACAGTGACAACGATGGTGAACCAAATAAATATGACCTGAATGACAGCTTTATAGATGATGAGGAGGAAGACTTTGATCCTACTGATGAAGATTCTGATTGGGAACCAGATTCTGAAGACAAAGATAATGAAGATGTTAACACTCTTTTGAAAGAAGCACAAAAATTTGTTAAAACCAAAAAGTAACTACCCAAATAATGGAAAGGACTTGCTGCTTCCACGTTTACATGATGAATAGAGGAGGAGGAAAACTGCTTTGAAAACTAATTTTCCCATCCTTGATACACTAACTTTTATTAATGGAATAAACAAACGGAGTAATAGCTTTCTTTCCTTTTGTACGCATTGTTTGGCTTTGGCTTTTTAGAAGGGGAAGTCAGATCATAGACTGAGATTATATTGTGTGTTTACTGAAGTAAAACATTTTGAAATGGAATTCTCCCTTCTGATTCTTTCCCAACTCTCTTATAGCTCATTGTCAGAGGGAAAACTTTAAATGTGGGATTATAGCACGTACCATTTCTTATTAATAACTGTTGTGCTCAAAATTAAAAGGATTATGGACCTTTAGGGAGGTTTATTGGTGTGCTAAAGTGTAATAAGTTATATGATGAATGAAGGTAACACTGCAGAAACTTTGTTATGGCAAATAGGTTCATAAATCACTAGGGATCTTAAATATTAAACCAACTCTTTAACCTATTAGCCAATTATACTACAGTGCCATTTTAAGTTTTACCAGTCTTCTGTTTATTAATTTATTTGACCCTTCAGTGTAAATTGATAATGTTTGCAAATTTCTTGAAGAAATAGTTTTTTAAATATAGACTGAATTTTCAGTTATTTCTCAAGAGCAATTTCTGGGTGTTATTAATGGTGTACTTATTAAAGTACATCTTATTTTACATCTTTATAGTACATTTTTCTGATTGGAGCACATGATGATGATTTTGACAAATTTATGCTAAAACAGCTATGTTATGTTAATAGCTAGCTTTACACACAGAACTGATTTAGATTTTTGATGGACATAGTATAGGTAGAGCTCATAGCTATGTCTATAGCTAAGATTTCCAAGTACTTTCCATTAGAAGACTTTGTCCTCAGTATGCTTATATAACTGTTTCTAACTTTAATTTTTCAAGTTGAAATTGGTGCATGTCCCAAGTCAAACTTTCTTTAAAAAGAAGTATAGGCAAAATGGTTTATGAAGTTGAAAATCTAACATTTCTTTGCTTTACAGCAGGGGCATGCAGTTTGGTGGGAGAACATCACTGGTATTATGGCTGTGCCTTTTGCTGCTCCTATGAAATCTACCCAAATATTCTTGAATAATGACCTTCCGAATGCTATTTTGCACAAATTCTCTGGCTTGCTTAGAGTTTGGTAACTAATTTCTCTAACGTGTGCTGATCATGCTTCCATCATCCCTCACAGTTCCTATGTGTGTACCTTGGTCCCTGAGACTCAGAATGACCTGCTGTATCCTTGGGGCAGGACTTCCTCTGTATTTTTTTGTCCATGCATCACAAGGAAGGTATTCATCACAAGAAAGGAACAAAAATAGTCTCTTGTGCTCTCAATAATCCCCATGCTTATGCCCAGGCAGAAAGGGGAAAAAAAGAGGTAACCTGACTGAAATGCAGAGAAGAGATGAGAGGCATAATCATGCTGGGGAAGGACCAGTGTGGGAAAGCAGCTTGGTCCTACAGTGTTGGATTCTTGATGGGGCTATTCTTCCAGTTTCTTTTCATATTACATGCACCTGTGAGCATGCAAGTGAGGACTGTTGTAATAAATGTGCACAAGAAGGCCAAAGGTGGCTTGCATTTTGTGTGTTTGATTTACACTCTTAAGTCTTTTCAATCTTTTTAAAAAAAAAATTGTGCTGGTTTATATTTTGAATAAGAATATAACCCAGTGGCATGTAGAGCAGGACCCAGAAGGTAGGTCTGTGTAGGCAAAGGGCTGGGGTGGGGAGGGCAGATCGATGCCTCCACAGTGAGGGAGGTAGTGGGGCAGGGGCTAGGGTGAATGAGGCCCTGAGGCCAGGGTGGGTTGTGGGACAGAGCCACGGGAGGCTTGTCCAGGGGTGTGGGGGAGGTTGTGACTCCATGATGGTGTACACACCCCCAAGGGGGGCATGTGCTCCCTGGATTTGTGTGGGGTAGAGGCAGGATGGTGCTCTGGCAAAGCCCTGCTGCCTTTGCAGCAGGAGGCAAGCCATGGTGTTGTGCAGCTCGTGGAGCAAAGGCAGCAGGGCACAGAGCCCCAGCTCACAGCAGGCAGCCTCCCTCTGCTGCTAGCACAAATCCAGGGGGCACACATGCTCCCCATGCCTTTCCCAGGGGTGCATATTGCAGCAGGGAGCCCTGCCCCTCCCCCGTGCCCTTGGACAAGCCTCCCATGGCTCTGTCCCATGCCCTGGCCCTGGGACCCCATTCACCCCTACCACTGCCTCACTCCCTCACTGTTGGGGGTGGTATCTCGATCTGGCCCTGCCATGCCTTCCCCTCCACAGACTTACCTGCTGGGCACTGCTCTACATGCTGCTGGGCAACATTCTGGTAGGGCTGCCATATTTCCAATTTTAAAAACAACACCTCTGTGAGTGGGGGGGGATGTTTTGATGGGGGGGCAGTGATATGCCTGTGCCCTTCCCCTGCCCCTCACTCCCAAGCCACAGTGTCCCCCCTCCCCCCAGCCCTGATGCTGCCCCTTATTCTTGACCCACAGTACCCCGCATCCTGCCAGGGCATGTGGAGCCCCTCCAAACCCTACACACACACCCACAGCCCCCCACACCTGCACAAATTCCCACTCTCCACACACCCTTGCATCCACCCCAACCATACAAATACATGCATAATTTTGAGTTTTTAGCTGTGTGGTTAAGATCATGATTAATTGCAACTAATTTTTTCAGTTGCACAACTAATTGCGATCAATTTTTAAAAATCATTTGACAGACCTAATTTTCATGTCTGTAAAAGTACTAAGGGGCTTCTTATAAACAACACCCAGAGAATGAGTTAGAATAATTTGGTTAATGTCTAAATCTGTATTGATCTGCCTTTGGGAACAATGTAATGTTTATGCTTCCACTGCATTGAAGATTTGCCTCGAAAGCTTTACACAGTCAAGCTATAAATGCTTGTGATGTTAGGAAACCATTCTGTATTTTGGAAGAACATGGGAATAATTGGTTTACTGTCTATTAGACTTGTTTCACATAAAAATAGTTTGTCATTTGACATTTTTTCCCTAGGTTTTGATTATATCTGTGGCCTTAGCAACCTTCAGCAAGCTGAAGCATTCTTTCCAGCAGGGTCACGCAAATTAAAATTTTCTCTGAAAAGAAAAGTTGTTTTTTTCATCCGTGATGGTTGCCAGGGTCATGCACATAATCACAGAGAAAATCTAGATATCATTTGTAGTTTTTCATAGTGTTTTGGATTGAGTTACTAAATATCACCTCTCCTTCTACATTGAAAATATGATATATGCTGAGTAATGGCACAATGCAGAAGACACAACTGTCTTCAAGAGCCCTTGCATCAGTAAGCTATTTCTGTATCCCTCTTTTAAAGGCAAAGTATGTTTTCTGTGATTCTATACTGAAAAGTGATAGATTTGTTAATTTTAGAGTCAACATGGATCAGAGCTGTTTTTATCAAAGTTTGTGTCTTCCTGTGAGCCATGTCAGTAAGGAGGTTTTCTCATGGTAACATTTGCTCATTGTTAATGTAACAGGATTTTGACTGGCCATCTAAGGTACATTAAATACAGACATTCAGGGAGGTTGTGGGTGGGGGAGGGCAGCAGGGAGAAGGGGTTAGGTTGTCTTAAAAATGGCTACCCAATTTAAATTTAGTTTGCCCATGTGTGAACCTTACACTTAGATCCCTAATTAGGTGGATATAAGTGTGAACTATTCAGAAGTTCAGGACAGTTAGATCAGTTTAAAAATGGCTGACCAGACCTAAGTTTAAGCATACCTTGGAGATTATCTAACTTGGATTGAGTCCAGCAAGACCGATTTAACTGAACATTAAAGTTCCTATTGCAGCCCCTGGGGCTGGGAAAGGCCACCAACTGGCCCTAGGTTTGGGGTTGCACTTTCTCTACCCACCCCACTAGCACTGGGCTATTTTAAGCATCCCCCCGCTTTCTACCCCCACTAGATGGAAAACCCCCTCTCACCCCGCCGTGGACCAACCAGTTTCTCCCACCCCACAAGCCTGCCAACCCCCCTCCCCCCATCCTGGAAGCCACTCCCAGTGCCATTTTACTGGCATTCACCAATGCCAGGAGCTGAAGAAGTAAGGGGGGGGGGCTGCGGGCAGAATGGGAGGGAGTTGTTTGTCTGCGGGTGGGGAGTTGGGGGGCTAGCCCCTGTTCCTGGTGGAAGGGAGAGCACCCCTCCAAACTTCCCTCATAGACTCTCATGAGTCCCCCTGATGCCACCAGCACCTATGCATCTTTCTTGCTCCCCGATTCCACCCGTGGAGCCCACCTGCCCTCCTGATCCTATCAGCCCCCTTTGCCAACTTAACTTAGATTGGGTGGCCATTTTTAACCCAATCTAACTTCCCCAAATATCTATACATGCCCCTAGAGGTCAAGTGCTCCTTATTTCATTAGCAGAGATCCTGGTTTTCTGTTTAAAAATCGCAAATTCTCTGATACAACCCCCAAAATCCATGATTAAAATGAAACACCACTATATATATATAGAATATATAGATATTCATAGATTCATAGATTAAGGGTCAGAAGGGACCTAGTAGATCTTCTAGCCCGACCCCCCGCCAGGGCGGGAGAACAACAAAAAAAAACCCCAAAAAGAGAAACGGGACTCAAATGAGTCCAGCCAGGTAGGCATCCAGCCCCTTCTTAAAGACCCCCAGGGTAGGGGCCAGCACCACTTCCCTTGGAAGTTGGTTCCAGCTCCTAGCCGCCCTAACTGTGAAGTAGTTCTTACGGATGTCCAATCTATACCTCCTCTCCATCAACTTGTGCCCATTACTCCTTCTTATGCCAGCGGG